TATGCTGTCCTTTTTTATTCTGAGATTGAGATAGATCTTAGCCTTATTAAGCTCTAAATTAACACATAAGATGCGCTAGTATTATGAAGGTCATATTTAATATAGTTTTTAAATTCAAAGTGGTTATTAAAATATTTAGCAGAAATACAACTAAAGAAAACTTTGTTATTGATTCGAAATACTTAAAATCTTATTCTCCAAATAACGTCGAATTAAAACTTTTCAGCACTTTGTTTCAGCCTTTAGCATTAAGTTCAGATTTCAAAAGATTGTACCAGCGTGCAATAATATGCAGTAGTTTTGATATTTAATTACAGTTTGTCGATGGGCAGTTGTGGCTTAAATAGTTGAGGAAAAGCAACATCTATTTTACTATTTTAAAATAGATGTTAGAAATTCCGCATTTGAGAATAAATTGGTCTGCTAATCGGTTCTTTATTCTTAAATTGCGTCTTAACCCATTTAAGCTGCATATTACTATATAAGATGCGATAATATTCTGAAGAGTGTATTTAATATAATCTTTAAAGACAAAAAGGGTTATTAAAAGAAACCTTGGAATAGTTAACAGAAGTATGAATAGGAAAAACGTCGTTATTAATTCGAATGTCCCTATTTAAAATCTTATTATTAGGATAACGTCGAAATAAAACTACTCAGCAATTTGTTTAAGTCCATGACATTAAGTTCATATTTTCGAAGATTATACCACTGTGCAATAATAGGCAGCTATTTTAATCTTTAATTATAATTTGTGGATAGCCGGATATGGGTTAGAAGGTCGCAGCGAAACAACCGTAGCGTTGTTTACAATTCAAAATTAGATGTTAAATTTAGTAATTCCGAGAATAAATATAGCTGCTAATAAAATCACCTCTATGATTGAAATACGGTAATAAATAAATAATAATATATGATTGCCATATATAATTATGTGCTCTTTAAGCCTCCTTCCTTCCATTTCAGACCTTTACTTTTCATTCTTTAGAAATTATTTTATATATATTAAGGCATTATGCAAATTAATTTCCATTAATAAAATATAAGTTGAGTAGTATAAAGCATGATGCAGACTAAATAATTCTGAGAGGTAAAGTTCCGACAATTAAAAAAAACAAATTAACTATATTTTAATTCCTTAAATTATTTCTTTTATTAAGAAGCCCTCAAAAGTAATTTCGTAGTTTCCCTTTCTCTTTTTTCCCGTTTCTTTTTCCTGTTCTTTATTGTTAAAAGAAATTAAATGCTAAATTAATTTTTTCATTTACCTTGAAATGCGTTGAAAGGCGGAAATATGAATGATAAATGCTTAAACTTCCCGGCATAATCTACTTTATAGATTTTCAGTGTCTTGGATAGAAGCTTTATTTGTAAATAACTCGTATTAAATCTAAATAAGGACAAAGCGAATTCAATTTCCGATACCATTTAAAATTTTATTAGAAAAAGATATGAAATAATTCTTTTGTTCTTGATAAAGCATTTTGTGTTTGTTTAAAAGGAAAAAATATGAAAGGTTAATCCGTATTATCTTAAAGAATTTGTTATCAGATAAAAAAACACTTTTTTCATTTATGAATGCCTACTTGACGGATCTTATCGTCATTCTTCTTTTTTTAGTGTTTTATATAAGAGAAAGTGATAATGTGACTGAAAAATAACATGCATTTATATAACATGGAAGTTTGAAAGCATTATTGAAAGGGTTTATCTGCGAATGTCACTATCAGAATAATTTATTTCACGGTAGGTATTGCAGTAATGAATAAAACCCTTTTCTATTCCCAGGTACGCTATTAAAATAAAATTTCACTTTGAAATACTTTGGTGTAAAAGCTGGCTGTAAAAAGGAGGAAAATATTTTTTTAAAATTAAATAAGCTAACAGGAATAAAAACGAAAAAATATGAAATGATTCCGATTTTAACGTTTGACCAAAAGGATTATTTTAAAAATTAATATGGTTTATCAGTTGATATGATTAATAGAGATGGTTCAGATTAAATAGCGAAACCTTTTACAGGATACTAGATGAATGTAGTACATTTAGATTAACATGGGAATGTTATACATCTGATGCATGTTTGAAAAGTTAAAAAAATGTGTAACTTAATTCTATAAAAATAGAAATGCTTTTATTTTGATGTATCACGAATGAAAAGCATTTAATAAAAAGCATTAGATTAAGAAGTAAAAAATAATATTCTATATAATATAAGAACTGCATTTGATGTTTTTATAGTTTAGTTTGTTATTCAATAACACACAAATTCAGTTTGAAAGATAAATACTTTACGTTTTTCCGAATGGCAACAGACTCTAAAGAAAAATCAAACTACGCATTTTTTGTGGAAGGCATTTAAATTGAATCAATGCAATATCGTGTTTCCAGGCTAATAGATATTTGGACTAATAATGAAAGAAAAATATGAATAAAATGTTAAATTTCAATTACACTAAATATGTAGTTCATATTAATTTAACATTTTATAAAAGCTCACTTAGTAAAGGTATGCATATCAAATTGAGAACCATATGCAGTTTTTAGTAGAGCATCGCAAGGAAAAACCCGGTTGTAATTTAATAGCAATGGTTAAACATATGAAAGGTCCCTTTCTAGAGTTTCTCTGTCGTTCTGTTTTCTATTAATAAAAATTATGCATCATAATCTACGAGACTTATTACAACTGTCTCTATTACTTTTCTTTGCAAGTGCCAAAACAGCCTTCTCTACGCAGAGAGTCTTCGAGAAATTTCATATAAATTATTAATTTAAATATTTGTGTTTTATATTAATTATGCTTTTAGCTACTTCTTGAAACAACTCACCATGAATTTTTCATCAGAAAAGGAGTGATTTTGATAATGGAAATTATTAACGATTGATTTATTTGTCCTAACTGTGTAACTTCTCTGTTGTAGCGGCCACCACATAAGCCATTGAAGAAATTTGAAATTTGTACCTTATAGACTGGGCAATTAAGTTTCCCAGTATTTTTGCCAACTGTGTAATGGCCATTATAATAAGGCTGTACCCTGATTTTATAGATTAAATTAAAATAAGGAAACATTTTAAACACGAGTTTTATTGATGATAAAAATTTCAGTCTGCTAGTTTATTTAATCTGCATCAAAGCATTTAAATTACAATAATAATTTAGTTCATCTGCAATTTAGATTCTTAATGGTGCAGTATATTAATATATAATTATTTACATCATTTGGAGTACCATCTAATAAAACGAGCATTTGGCATAACTTTTTTTCCTTCGTCATTAAAATTGCAGTAATAAACGATCTTAAATACGTAACTCAAGTCATTGCATCTTTCACTCTAATTTTTTTATTAAATCATTCGAAATTAAAATTGCTTGATTTCTAGTATCACAATGCACAACAGGCTATGAAATTTTCCCGGACTTCCATATCTTATGCGAGCATAAAAAAACACAGAAAAACATTCTTAAACACTTTGTTGCTACCGAACTGAATCTCATTACCCAGAAGGGCATTTATTTGGCGTTGGAGATTAATGTTTTGGATCCGAGGGTTCGTCAGCAAACGCAACTGTTTGTAACTGAAAACTACTCGGTGTATTCGAGTATTATTCAGCAAAATTATGTGAAATTTCTTCAGAAAATGCCACTACCTTATAAGGTATATTTTAATTTTATAACACTTATTCTAATTTTAAAGTCCTTTTCCTATCAGTTCTTGTTTCCACTTAAAACTCCCCACCAGAATGAGTTTTAGAATCGCGTTGAATGAGTGAGAAGAAGTATTAAAGGAAGGTTCAACTCACGTCGATAGAGAGAACTAGGAATCCTAAGTAACGCGTGTTTGCATTCGGGCTTAAAACTGTAACGCTCGGCCGTATGTTACGTGCCTTTTGCTATTCTCCGGCTAGTTTAAATTAAGGGCAACTATGTTAGATACTTGTGTTTAGCTTCGACCCTTTAGTTAGTTAAAGTTTATTTCTTACTGTGAGTAAGCCCTATTGGTAGCTTTATAGTAAGCCCGAGAAAGGGGCCAGCTGTTATTCTTATTTCAGTGAAATAAAGGTTAGTTTAACCCTTCTTGAGGCTATATCTTTAGTTTTTTGAACTCAGCGATAACTCGCTAAACACTTCACTAGTTTCCTTGATGTTCATTTAGACATTAAGAGTGAGGAACCCTACAACGTTTTACTTTATTTCATTTATTTATTTAATTCTATGTTTATTTATTTAATTTTTGACAAGGCTGATTATAGGTTACTTTTAGAAAAGGAATAGTTGCTGTGCGCATTGACGGTCTGTTCTTAAAGAATGGTAAATAATTCATCAGAATAACTCTTATCAGTTTCAATGTTCCGCCTTACTTTCTTTGGGAACATGCAAGGACCTGACTCGGAACAGGGAGCTTACTAAAGCTATGTTCAATAACTGTGGGAAGTAGACAAGATACACAAGAAGGGTATACAAAACCCTTTATTTTTCTCTCTTTACAATAATTTCCGTACTTCGGAATACAGAGACCAACTACTTGTGGTCTGAGCGTAAGAATATAAAAAATATAACTAAACTCTAACTTAAATTTGGAATAATAAACGTGGAAGATTGGCCTTAGATTAACAGGAAGCCGTATGTAGTACAGAGAACTGTTAACACTACAATACGTTTAAAAATTATCAAGAGGATTAAACCTCTGGCCTGGAAGGCAACCAGCAACCGAGTAAAACTTCTAAGGCAAGCGGCCTGCTTCGACTAACTCCTTCCTCTCTCTCGCTTGGCAAAAAGCCACAACTTAAGTACTTGGCGTTCACCAGACAAATTTTGCATAAATAAGTTAACGCTTTTAATTCTGGCCGGAAGTAGAAAATAAGAAGTGATAGTAAAGATTTAAAATTAAATAAACGTTAGTAAAACTTAAGATTGTTACTCTCTAACTAATTATTTCGAAACAATTAACGTATAAATACATGTTCATTTTTATGTCAGACTCCAAAAAAAATAACGAAAGGCAAAATTAAAAATTTTATTTTGCTAACTAATTCTTCGCCTATATCAATAAATTATGCTAAAAACTCAGTAAATTTACTGTCATGGCGATCAAAGTTATCTGTTCCACGAAAGTCTACATCTTCATTGTTTGTACACTGTTTGATCAAATTGAGAGGCTAAGCCAAAAACATTTAAAATATAGATTCCTTTACTGCCTTAATTTGAAAATTAATTCCTGTCTTTTAGGTTGCAATGTTATTCCGAGAACACCTTCAAGATCCGGTACTTTTCCTGGTGGCATGAAAACATCGAATTTTTGTAGTATTGCTGTTACGTATAAGAATACTTCCACTTCTGCGAGTGATTTTCCAGGACAGGATCGTTTTCCTAAGAGATAATTAACAAAGAATAAAAAATAAAAATAAAGATTTCATGAGAGTTATTTTCAAAAAACAGCTCATACATTGGATGAATGAATAATATGATTTATTGATAACACGCGTAATTCCAATTGTAGTTAAAACAGAAAAAATAATAAAGTTTTCTGAATAACATAAGGTTGATATAAATTTTAGCTTAAGATTTTTGATCTTTAACTAGCATGATAGGTGTCTCAAGGAAGTGAACATCGTTTTACTTACGACTACTTTTGTTTATTTAAAAAACATGACGCATATTTCATTTTTTGCCATGGAGATGCTGAATGCCTTTATTTTGAAATGAATCATATATCATTTTATGATTAAATGAATATGCTATCAGAAAATTGTTGCAAAATAATTATTCTTTTACCTATGAAGTCTCGGTCTGTATGACCCGAGAGTACCTATTACGCACAAAGTTTTCCCCTTGTCCAATTAGACATGCAAACTTAATTCTTATGTAGTTTAAAATCCGGCTGATATAGCAGAATTCACGTATTGCTTTCAAAAGACAGCATAATATTATTTGAAAAATTCAACTACTAGTTTTTGATTCGCTGCGGCAGAATCAATAACATGAAGCTAAATGCTTCTGTTGTTTCAGAGGCAATGATTTCACTCGTGATATCCCGATGTGATAAATTAGACCATATGTTGTGAAGCAGTACGACCCATATCTAGGTAGGCTTACTATTTTTGCTCGCAAGTAAGGAAAAAGCAAGAACTTGCTAAAAGTGAAAATATTACAAAAAATTCAATCTAAATTTTCCGGTTAGGAATCTTAGGCTGTTCATCTAGAGTTAATGGAATTATTAATCATATGCAAAGTATGAACAATTAGAAAAAAATATTCAAATCACCCCCATTTATTCTGTATGGATCATCATAACTATGCCCTGATATATACACGCCTTATGCGTTAGTATGCTGTCAGTGAGTTTGTTAATCCCTATCCAAAGAACACTTTCCTAACACTGCGAGCAAATGTTCCTGTAAAGTATCAGGTTGCAATAGCTAACCTATGTTATTCCAAGCGTGCTCGATGAGAGATAAGTCTGGAGATTTGGGATTCACCGGTAGCATGTCAAGTTTATGCGTACTATTCATAATACCGCTAGTGACATGCATCCTAAAGTTGTCATGTCGAAAAACATGGGGCACCTTGTAAGAAAGGCTCAATGATCAAATTAAAGTAAGAGCTGTTAGTGCACCAGAAAGAAAGAATATCCTTTTCTACAGCATGTAGTTATTTTATGAGTAGAGCTGATATGATGCTGTTTCTTGATAACGGCTTTGACTAAGTGGCGCTCAGATAAATCTTAGATCATCACTGCTTCCCAAACAGAAAGAGAATCTATAGAGAAGAATTCTTCATTAGCTTTCATTTTGCTGCCCGAATACCAACTATTTCTGAATTTTAATTTTTCAAGCCATCTACTGTGGAGCCTTCCACATCAGCAGTCTATCCAAAGAACAACTTCGTGCAACATAGCATAGGGGTCAGGAATTATTCTGAGATTCTTGCAATAGACAAATCCCATTTAAAGGTAAATCTTTTGCGACCAGGGGTGTGTATTTCTTCAACAGTTTGCATTTTGAATCGACACGTGACTGCTTTTCTAGTGTTTCGTTTATTTTTTACCATAGTAGACATTGTGAGGAATAATAAACGTCTTAAAGATTATAAAAACTATATATACTTATAGATATAAAAATTGCTACCCCTTGAAGGAAGCCAGTTAGTAGAATCATACATTTTTATAGGTACTGCAGCTCACGTTATTTGAGATCTGTGCTAGAGTTCATCTGTCGTGTTAACTGGCGGTTATTGTCTTGCTAATCTCTCCGCAATTATCGATCAGACGTTTGCAGTTAATGAGAGGTTTTAAAAACACTTTCACCAACGCACCAGTCGAACACTGTGTATTGAGGAAACTTAGAATAGTGTGAGCAACTTGCGGTCCTATAATGTGCTATTGAAATTACGGCGCTGGAGATCTGGAAAATGTGCCATTGACAGAGACGACTTAAAAATCTCAGTAACGCAAAAATGGTTGGTCGAAGTACTGAATATACGGATTAGAGAAGAACGTAATTGAACCGAGTGCTACCCCAACTCATCAGTTCAGTTGTTGTTCAGGTATGAAGACGAAAAAAGCAAGCTTCCGTTTATATACACAAGGATGCAGTCATCATGATACTCAAGCAAAAGAGGGAAAAGCACGGCGTCACAGTAGTAATGCGTCCATGTGCACGCACCATTGTGGGCACTGATTCCTGCGTTGTGACTATGAAGGGACAACAAAAAAAGCTTGTTGAGAGTTCGCAATGTGTCGTCACATCATACATGCGATTATTTATTGCTGTGCATAATTTAAATTCTTATACAGATACGTGATGTGATCTTACGATCCTTAACGGCAGTGTGAATAGGATGCCTATTGTCTGGGAAATAGGAAGTTGGGAGCCATTGATATTACGCACGTAGCTTTGCGTGTCTTTTCTTTATCTAATGGCTCAAATTCTGATAAGTGTCATTGGATCTTGACCACGGAGAACAGAATTTGAATGGTACGATAACCTGAGTCGCAGTAAGCTACGATTCTCTCGCCATCGAAATCTGAAACGTATTTGTACGGCCGCTTTTTTATCCAAGGAGTAAGAAGACCGTTCTTTTGCCCAAGGCATAGCAAGATTTTCAGAAAACATTGATTAAATACAAATGTATTAAAGAAAAATCGGAATTTCATTCTTCCCTTTTATAATATTTTAAGGCACTATTACTCTTGTCTGTAATGTGCGCATGCAGTAAAATGCTAATCATCTGCATATTCTGCCTTTCATGCAAATTTCGAGTTTGTCTTGCACTTCCAACATGGTGTATCAAGATTAATGGCCAGCAGTATATTTGCCAGTTGAATATATTGAAACTGCCCACCAGCGGCGAGCGTTAAAGTCTCTCAACGCTGGCAGTTCGGTCCGAGGTTCGTATCCCGCGGGCGGGCTGGCTGCATGCGCGTTTTCGTTGTTTTCCCATGTGTAACGTGGTAATACGAGCCAGTTCGCTTAGAAAGTCCTGCGCGAAGGCATCCCTTCTTTCCGTGTAGTGCCTTAAGACGGAACACATAAACAATAATAATAATATAGCGAAAATGCGAATTAAAGCAATGGAACATTAGAATGCCTAAACTAACAGCCGAAAGTTATCGTTAGACAGATCTTAAAGATTAATTAACATATGAAATGTCACTTGAAGAATTCTTTCGTCTCTTGATTATTGTGAGTGATACCAAAATTAGCAGAAAATGAATACAGAAATGTAAAAGCGCAAATTTAAGATATATTTAGCTCCGATTGTAAGTTATAAATAATCAAACTGAAGATTGTCGACCATAGAGTCTATAAACTAGACCAACTGTAAGTAACAAAATAAAATTTATATCAAAATCTTTAGAAGAACAGATCGATGTGCTCTTCTTAACTTTCGTTTACAGCTAGAATTATGAATCAAGCGAGAGGGAAACAAAAAGTAAGGAAGAAGGTCCTGAATGTTTTCAATGAATCAAAAAGTTAATTTAAAATATCTTTTTGGTTAAAAATAAAAAAAAATTAAATGATTATTTTTGTACAGAAATAATTTCGTTAAAGATGAACGTGATCAGAAACGAAAGTGTGGCAAATGTGTAACGCTTTTAAAATCGTAATGCCAATGCTTAAACAAAAAGTATTGCAATAAACGTAAAAAATGCATACCAATAGAAAAAGGAATGTAGTATTCAGGTTTAACAACTTTTGTTCCATCTTCACTCAAAAATCTTTCAGGTCGGAAGACGGCAGTATCGTTTCCCCAGAGTTTCTTATCATGATGAACTGCATATGTGACTGCAAGAACTCGGGAATGTTTTGGGATGAAATAACCGTTCAACTCAGTATCCTTCAATGTGCTGAAAAACATATGCATCGGAAGATAAAATTAACTTAATTACACATTTGTTACAGACTATAAATATGAGAGAACAAATGAAGTAGATGAAATATAAAGTATTGGCAGTTCTTAAAATGATACGAAACTAGTCGAAACGCATCTACTCAGATGTTTCTGAATGTTAGCAGAAAAATGTTAAAGAAATAAATTGAATTTAGCTTTGCATTGATTTTAACTTAAAAAAATTCTTTGTTGTTTATTGCTCGCCTTCTGCAGTGTTCCGAAATTTAAATATTTCATACTGCTGCTTGCTGTATAATGCCATATTTAATTAAATTTATAAAATGAAGGCTAAAGGTTAGACCATTCTTATGTGAGTTTTTTTATATATTTGGAGAAAATATTTGATTTATTATTATGATTTAATAAAATATTATAATACGTGCCCTAATAGTTTGATATAATTGTACGAAAATATGGTACAGGTTTTTTTGGCATACAACTGTAAAGAATTATCGTATTCAGCCTGCGTCCAGTGAATTCGGCGAAGCAAAATAAATCTTGTTTTATATTATTATAAGAACTTAGTTGGTACTCTTCACAAATAGGTGCCCTAAACGACTGTCAGTGTCACTTATGCTTGATCAACCCAGATAGAATTCTCTTGTGAGAAATCTCGTGTTTGTAAGTGGTGAGAACACTCTTTTCAATATTTTGCGATGACACCCAGATAAATGATTTTCTAAATGATTAGCAGTGTTAAGTAAAATTGAAATATATTTTTAGTCCAAAGGGGCTTTGTCCCTGAAGGACTATTGTTTTCATTTTGCAATCTTGCTTTGAATCATTATAAATGTCCGTTTCACTTTTCAAACTGTTGCCACCAAATATTAGAGTCCTGCATTATATTTGAAGAAATTAAATAAGGAAAATTCTGCATAAATGTATGTATATTTCTCGCATTGTGATAAAACAACGGTACATAGAGTCATCGAATTTTGTGATAAAACAACGGTACATAGAGTCATCGAATGAGGTAATCCTCCTACGAATATCGGCATGTGGAAGACAAATTTGAAATTTGGAATTTGTTTTATTACCGATTTCATATTTTGTAAAACTTAAACGAATTTTTGAGTAACAAACACAAAGATTTAAAAGCGAGCAATAGCAACACTCTACGGGGAAAGAAACCTTTTTATCCTCAGCGCGCGGAACTGTATATCGGAAATTCTAAAGATAGGCTCATTTTAAAATTACTTTGCGACATTACTAGTCAACTGAATTTTATCGTTTAAGTGCAAAGAACATGATATTTAATAAATAAAAGTAACACACGAAACGTTAAGAAAACGCCGCTTTAGACGTAATTTAAAATCTGAAACCTTTCAGATTCTTTTTAAAAATTTTATTTTACTTTCAAATTTAAAAACTAAACTAAACTCAGCGGCAGAAACAGTCATTAGAAAGCTATGGCCGATAATGCTCTGATATCTGCTTTCTAGACCGTGGGCTCCGGTGTGCATGAGCATATGCCCTGGACAAGTGGCCAGATTCTCGCAGGACCGCCGTTCCAAGAGAACTTGATACTCATTTTATCGATCCCCTCAAGGGATGAAAGGCTGAGCAAACCTTACCCAACTCGGGTATCGAATCCCGGATCTGTGGTGTTGCTGCGCGACGTGCTAGGTTCTTTTAATATTACAGTACTGTAAATATAAGAAAGTTCATACACATTTTCAATTGACAACAACAACGGCAGTTTACATGGATGTAATTTTATCGAAACTAAAAAACAGTGTTAAATGTGCGGGATTTTTCTTCGAGGTATTAAATTAACTAAACCCAGAAACTAAATCAGGTGGTAGGAAAAAAATTGAAAGACCCAATTATTAAATATATCAATTAATATTATTATTAGAGATATTATGACAAAAGAAATCAGCAGTAAGTTTCATAAAAGTTATGAAATTATTACAAATTTAAAAATGTAACATTGATTACTGCTGCATTAGCATCTCCAATAATCGCTTTTTGGCGTGTTAATTTTTTCCTTTAATAACAAATAATACTCGTAGTTCTTAAATTATAGATATTAAAATAGGTCCCCTAAGAAAAAAATGCAATTGATTACATATGTGGTGAAACAAATAGTTATAAAAACAGTGAGCTTTGAAATTTTAATTAATTTAGTCTTTTATGTGTGAAATAGTAGAATTATTTTATTGTGTGAAAATATTAAAACGTACTACATGCTGATCCTCATTCGAATTTTAAAATTTCAAGTTTACTTCAATTATAAGATTCATATTTTAATCTGATATATTTCAAGCTAAAATTCATTACTGAAAACACATATATTAAATTAAAACACATATTGTTGAATCACAGCTTGTAAGGACTTATTTAGCTTTATACTAACCCGTTTTGATCAGATATTTACCTTTTCTATTTTCTCTCATTTCGTTTTCCTGCCAGAGTGATATTTCAGTTTCGTGCGCTATCCAAAGTAGGGTAAGAAGACACTAAGCTGGTGCCTGAGTTACTTCAGACAGAACGTGTTCTGCCTTTCGACCACGTTGTTTCGATGAAGCTTGCTGTTTTACGTGCATATTAGTTGTCGGTTTGTCTGCGTTGGTAGTAGGGCTAAGAGTTAACTCGTGTTAAATTTCTCTGTGCAGCCTTGGCTGATTATTTTAACTTAGTTTTAATTTTATATTAATGTTGAGTTACAGACAAAAGTATTGGCTGAGTTTGTACGCATCAGGAATGCCCACTGTAAATTCTTTCTTGAGTTGAATGAAAGGGCCTTTTCACCCTTCGTAGGCTTTGATACAGTTGAACTTAGCGAATAGTCGCTTCACAGTTCAAGAAAAGATCTACCAGCAAAAGTAATCTTTAGTTTAGCTAGAATCTTACAAGCTTTATAAATAAATTTAGGAAATAAATACAGAGTCAGTATAGTACAAACATGGAGGTTTTAGGAATGGACTGCCATGGTCTTAGCCCATGGGACGTTAAAGTTTTGCTTTAAAACCGATGTATAAAATATCGAAATAGCATTTCGACAGTTATGGTTGTTTTATTCACTTCAAACGTTTGATAAATTTTATTTATCTCCTTAAAACCGTTTGGTTTAATTAATTTGGTTAATAAAATTAAGAATGGATTTTGTTCCGAAAATAATAGAAAAACATTAAAAAGAATAATTTTTGCTTAAGAGGCTAAATTTTATTATGTGCATGGATATGTGATTGCAAAGATAAATTAAATTGTACTTCAGTTTGGAAAGCATTAAAAGAAACATACGGGAAAGTAGATGTATTTCTCAGTATGAAATTCTAAACGCATTTCAAATTTTTACCTGAAAAAATGTTTTTTTTGGGACCGATTTATTAAATTAGCCACTCTGAAGTCCATTAAAGCAAAATTAATTTATTAGTAAATTAATCTTTCATTTTCTTTCTTGTCGAATTCTTTAAATAATATTTAAAAGACTGAAACTTTTAGGCTAAATGGTTTCTCAGATAAAATAGTTTTTGGCAATGCATCTAATGAAACGAAATACCAGATAGTCTAGAATTAGCTAAAGGAGATTCATCATTAAATCAAGGCTGATTACGGCTTGCTCGGACTGAAAATCTTTCCTTTCAGAGGATTCCCAAATCGTCAAGCATTTCTCTACATGACTGCTTTTTTTATTATAGGAGGAAGAGTTCCTGAGGAAAGAAGGCTTCTGAGTAAAGCAAGGGCACTGGGAGAAGGCTATGCAAAGGACTCAAGATTGGCTGAAACAAGCCCTGCTTTTAAGCCCTTTCTAACTGTACTTGTTAAAAAAAAAGTTGTCAACGATCGTAAAATTATATGCATTTTTTTATAATTTAGGACTATCGAGTTCATATTATTATATATATCAGACAATTTCAAACATTATCTGAACCCCTTTATATTTATCTTTCTTTCTTCCTTATTTAACTTTTATTTTCAAAAAATGAAAAATCAAGAAAACTTACTATCTCATTAGGTTCAGAGGCACAATTGTTTTCCATCTATTCATCTCCAGAATAACAGCCTCTGTGAAAGGCATCTCCAGATTGTCTGCTCTAGTTGGAAATCGTTCTCGTCCGACGACATCGTCGATTTCTTGTTGGATTTTTATCTGCACTTCTGGAAAAGCAACACATAAAAGCAGAATCCATTCCACTGACACACGAACTGTCTCGCTTCCGGCACCGAAGAATGCTCTTGACAAATCAGCAAGAACCGCTTCTGAAGGATAAAAATTTTAAAATAATAATGTTTTCTGCAAGTTGCGTTTTTACAAGAAGAAGAATTATGAAGAATGCAATAATATTCAGTTTTTATCGCACTGCAGTTTATCGAAAGAATAAAGTAAGCTGGAGACTTAATATAGACTGGAGATTTCATAAAAACAAATCAAGTGTTTCATTCCAGTTTGAAAACTAATAAAAGCATATTTGCTGTATTGGCTGGAATTTATTTTAAACGGAAATGCTCAATGAATTTTCAAATTCCGTATCTAATGCCTTGAATGTTTCCATTTAAATTCAGGTTTGACAAAGATAACTGATTGCAAAATCAGAATTCCTGAATTTTAGAACTCTTAATTCAGCATCTTGTTTTTTTTTTTTAAGAGACATTCTGTTAAACATGGTTTTGAAACAATTTACATTATCGGTCTCTGATGCCGCCCAACGAAAAAAGTGTAATATTATTTTACGGCGGATAAGGGTTAAACGTATGGAAATAATATAATTATTTTCATGATCCCATCCTTACCTATCTTGAAAAATTATCTCTTCATTCAAAATAGAATATATAGGAACGAGTTATTTCTGTACGTTGTTTGTATTACATTGTACTTCCTAAGTGAATAAACTTTAACATAAGTTGTAAATTCTGATTAAAAATAAAGTGCTAAAAATCTTGATGACATCATATTGTGTAAATCGTCGCCAAAAAATGCTAACAATTTCGTGCATATATATTTGCAACAAAACCATGTATAATTAAATGATAATACTGGAGCATAAATCTACCTTTTGTAAATGGATATATAAAATAGAGTGTACTTTGGGAAGGGAATGAGAGGTTAACAGAAGTTATATTTCAAAAATGGAGACTTACTTGTGAATGAAGTGTCAGGGTCATCAGCTCTTTTTTTAATCTCTAGTAAATAACCGTCCATAAAATCTCGTAAATTAGTTGGATCCAATGTCTGTTCATGTTTCTCAATTTCTTCCCTGAAAAAATGAATTTATTAGAGAGAGTGAAATTGGGTAGTTTAAAAGGACTAGCATTAACAAACTTCAAATATTTCTTCAATAATATACGTTTATTCCATTCAGTATTAAAAATTTTAATCAATTTATTATTATATTCTGATATTGTTTGATTGCTACATGAATTTAAAATTAAGACTAGAGTTTTATAATTATGAAAATTAGTATTTATCTATTACTGTAAATTACTTCAGCTTCTAGTTTTGTTTATGTATCCTTTTTTAGCACTTATTATCTTCCTATTTCCTTTTTAGAATATATATATACGCATACATATAATATATACAAGAAAGTAAGAAATTTTGAATTAAAACTACAAATATATGAAAGAAGTGAAATTTAAAATCCTTTTGAATTACTGTCTTTTGTTCTTACAACAGTAAGTTGGAACTTTTCTGAATTTGATAAAAAATTTTTGTTCTCAGTTAATAGTAATTGTTTTGTAAATATTAACTGAGTTTTTTTCAATACTTTTTGTAAATTCTTACTTTTTAATTTGAATTTTAATATTAGTAAACTGTATGTTATATATATAATATATTGCATTAGGGAAATTGAATTTATTTCATTTGTGTATTTCTATTTCATATGAAAAGAAGGCATTGGTGAAGAGGAGGCAGCCAGAATTTTCGAATGAGCTACTATAATTAAATAAAAAAGATAATAAATAATAAGAAAAAAAGATAATACAGAAAAGATACTTGTAAAGCTGCAATATAGAAATAAACTTAAATGTAAATCAAAATGACGTAAATTAAGTAGGTCAAATGTAAATTAAGTAGCTGAAACTGCAAGAGGATTCTGTGTCATTAGAAATATAAATTTGTTAGTCGACAGGAAAATAAGTATTAGAATATGAAGCAAATTAGGAAATCTGGTGAAATAAAAAAGCAGAAAGCGAAAAAAACTAGATGGAAAGAAATCCACTTATAATAGAAAATTGTCTGTCATGCGCTGGCTCAGCGGGTGAAGAGCAATGAACAACAGTCAAGTATTAACGTTAACATTACAGAGTGGGAAGCTTGAACCTCGTATAATTTAGATAAAAAGGAAATTAATCTGGACTTTTATCAGACGATTAAATAAGTCGTTTCGTGCTCAATAACTAGAACTTAAATCGAGTAGAAAGAATTGTAAGAATAAAACAAAGTTCATAAATAGTGAGAAGTAAGCGGAATGAACCTACTGCGGAAACAGTCAAGAGCTTGTTTATAAAGTGAGAGATAAATCTAAAAATGGAACATTCATTATTTTGCTCTCCCGCCCCAATAAAAAAATTGTTTAATTTTTAACTTTTTAGGTACCTTTGTTATTTAAAATATTAAAGCATTATTATCTACTTAAAGATAAACGAGGCTGATACGAATTGTGATTTATCTTTAAGACAATTTTAAATTACGTCCAAAGGGGCGTTTTTTAACGTTTTGAGTGTTACCTTTATTTATTAAATATCATGTTCTTTGCACTTAAACCATAAAATTCCAGTTCAAGAGCAATATCGCAAAATAATACTTAAATTGAGCATATCTTTAGAATTTCCGATACACAGTCTCGCGACGCTGGAGATAAAAGTATTTTCTTTCCTATACAGTGTTGCCATTTCTCGCTTTAAAGTCCATTGAGTTTGTTAATCAAAAATTCGTTAAAGTTTTACAAAATATAAAATCTAGATAATAAAACAAATTCTAAATTCCAAATTTGGGATTTCAGATGCCCATATTCGGTATGTAGGAAACGTACGCGTATTCAAAATTTCGATGGCTCTAGGTACCATTGTTTTATCACAATGCGAGAAATAGACAATACATTTATGACGATTTTTCTTTATTTAATTTTTCTTCAAATATAATGCAGGACTCTAACATTTTGTGGCAACAGTTTGAAAAGTGAACCGACGTTTATGAGTCCGACGCAAAATCGCAAAACGAAAACAATAGTCCTTCAGGGACAAAGCCCCTTTGGACTAATAAAATAAAATAAAATGAGGATTTGCTAAAATTTGTTCTTTATTAATTTATAAATGGACCAATTCACAGACAGATATATCATTAGAGGAACTTATTTAATAAATATAAACAAATCAAAGAATTTCGAATTTATCTTCATATAGCAATAGGAGAATTGGTTCCAAGAAAATTGAAAATGTTGAGAGCACATTCCATTAACACACACAAAAAAAAAAAAAAAAAAAAAAAAAAAAAAAAAAAAAAAAAAAAAAAAAACCCGATATGTAATAAATAAGCCAATCTTCAAAAATTCTAAAGTAAGTTTGGGGTCAAGACAGACAAGAGCAAATACGGAACAGATGTGCCGGAGAAAACTCGCTTGGATAGATTTCGAAGTGGTGTACAGAATTCATAAACCGCACATTGTTAAGACTTGCAAAACCGGAATGGGTGGAAGTCAGATCTCACAAGTAAATCTTCTCTCCTTTGATACCGGTTTCCCGGAAAACCATTATTTTGTTAAAGATTATGCCACAAGTAGAAAAACTGTGAAATCTTAGGGGCAGAGGACAAGCGTTTAGGAGCTATAGGACCGACAAAGTATCAGAAAAGTGTAGGAAACATGACACCGAAAGTCGCTAAAATGCTCGTTTCACGTATTTATATGAACTAATAATATGGTAAGAAGGTGGGGATCTCAATATAAAGGAAGAAACAAGTCGTTGAAAAGAAACATGTTACGTTGGGATGTTAGAAATGTGATTTGTTATTGACTTCAAACAAAATCTATTACAACAGACAATCAATGTGCATTTCATCAAATAAACAATGAGACAGGCAGAAAGACAGTTCACAATGGGCACATTTTACAAAAGTGATAGCCTCACGCTTTGCACATTCATTATTTGTCAACGAATCGAAGCAATAATCCATTGGCGCAATCCACATTCCAGATTCGTCGTCCAAGTATCTGCCCTTATAAAAAGCGTACTTAATTAAGTTCTTAAAAGAGGAGCGCTGAAGTGATATATTGAAAAGGATTGCAGGGCTAGAAAACGATCGCAATGCCAAATATGCTCCTGTGTATCGATAATGATTGGGCTCGTTATATAACGAACAAAAGATTTGTAGTGTCTGAAAAAATGAATATTTAGAGGCTGGATCTTCCTCGTAAATCTTTCAGGTACCAGTTCTTTTTGTAGGACTATCAGGTTTTGTAGGACTGTCAGTGGTTTTTGTAGGACCATCAGGTACTTCGGAAGCAGAAAATGCATGAATATACAAGAAATACAAACGTCATTAAGGAAATGCATCCATCTGGTACACACTTCAATGATACTTTGTGGGTTCTATAGCTCCTAAACGCTTGTCCCTCTGCCCCTAAGGCTTCATAGCTTTTCTACTTGTGATATAAGCTTTCAGAAAATATATGGGTTTCAGGAAAACCGGTATCAAAGGAGAGAAGGTTTACTTGCTATTTATCATAATTTTCAAATTTAATGCAGAGTAAAACAAAGTTCAGTAGTAGATAAGCCTAGAATATGCATTTTAAAATTTAAATTCATTCCTTTAAATTATAAAACAAAAAACAATATATATTTCTATATGAGGGAGTCATTCTTAAGGAAAAAAAACCAGCTGGCCTAGTTATCTTGTAAACTTAACTAAAAATCTGTATATTCAACCTGAAAAAATGTAAATATTCAAGTACATGTAGAAAAAGTATTTTGCTTTTATCTCTTCAGATCCAGCATTTCTAAGTCGAAGCAAATTTATTATTACCAAGTAAGGTGCTTGTAAAGGTCTTTACGGGCTTAGATAGCTACTAGATTAAGCAGTAAAAGACCTTTAAGAACAACATATAACACATAGAAAATGTAGGCTTGCACCGAATAATTAGTAAAATGTGTAATATAGAGTCTTACTGCGTTCTCACGAAACTAAAGGTTTCTCTTGAGAGAAATTTCGTTTCAGAAACTTTGAAGGGAAGTTACGAGATTCAGACGTATGAGAAATACATGTTACAAAAATCTGTGGATTGGACATGACCAAAGATAGAGAAGGCAGTAGAAGCATTCGAAAGAATGAAAAGAATGAATAAAATACTTTTACGATTTTATTTATGCCAAGTATAAGGGAATTAACAAAGGTATGAAATTAGAAAGATGGAAGATTGTAAAGAAATAGGAAGAAAATTAAATTTCAAAATTCTCCTGCTGATTATACGAGTGTTTAATATAAAAGAATAATTAGGAAGTATAATAGTTAGGAAGTATACGAGTGTTTAACATAAAAGAATAGTTAGGAAGTATAATTATTTTTCAAATGAAAGTGGCATTTCTGTAATAACTCCGCCGTTTGAAGAGAAAGGTGACTGTGCATGCATCTATAGAGAACGCACAGTACTGGGAGTACATGTGATATTGTCAGATATCACATGTACTCCCAGTACTGATGCGCGTGTACCTGATGCGCGTGTGATAGCGTCGGAGCACGTTAAAAGGCATCATTCGCACCATGGATGCATCCAATCGGTGTCAACGCGCGATCGTACAATTTTTAACATCTGAAAACGCGAGTGCCTGTGAAATCTATCGTCGAATGCAAAATGCGTATGGCATGAAGTGTATGAAGCATGTGGTGATCACCCAGTTGATCGCCAGGAAGCAGTTGCAGATGTGGACCGTTTCGTGAAAATTAATCGGCGAATCACCACTCAAAAAATAGCGGAGAAAATGTCTATGAGCATAGTAAGTGTGCACACAATACTGCGTGAAAGGTTGCGATCCCACAAGGTGTGCGAAATGGGTGACAAAACATTTGATAGAGGAGCAGAAGATTCATCGCATGTCTGTTTCCATGCAACACTTTATGTGTTGCCACGAAATGGGGAACCAATTTCTTTCAAGGATCATTGCTGCTGATGAAACGGGGTACCATCTCTTTGATCCAGCCGCTAAAAGCATGTGTATGGAATAACGACACTCTTCAACCCCACGCTAGAAGAAGGCTCGCACGTCCACTAGAGCTGGTAAAGTCATGTTTACGTGCTTCTTCGATGTCTATGGCCCATTACTGTTGAAATGGCTACTTACGGGCACGACTGTCACTGTATCCACGTGCTGTGATACATTGAGGAAACTGAGACAGACTATTAAGAACTGCCGATGTGGCATACTGTCACGCGGGATTATTCTCTTGCATGATTATGCTCGTCTCCACGGGGCTTTGGCGTGCCAAATATTGTTACGGCAATTCCTTTGGGGGGGGGGGTTCTCGAACATTCCACTTACACCCCGGAACTCTCGCCGTGTAACTACCACATCTTGGATCCACTCAAGAAATTTCTGAAAGGACGCGGCTTGCAGATGATAATGAGGTCCAAGATGCCGTTGAAAATTGGTTCCAAAACCAGCCCTGGAGCTTCTTCGCACAGGGTATCCATCGTCTCGTTGACCGCTGGAGCACGTGTTTCAACCTACAAGGTGACTTTGCATAGCATATTTGTTACGTCTATATTACTTCTTTCTTTTGTATACTAATTTATATTAATATTATTAAACCATTTCTCAAACTGACTGTAGTGCCACTTTCATTTGAACGACCCTTATAGTTTATTAAATGATTTGTGTTGAACATAAGGTCCTTAGAATCCAGTTAAATTCGCAACTTTATTTACAAACTAGCTGTTACTCGGCATGAACTACCTAAACATATGTACTTCGACCTGGTTTTCCATTTCAGACGGACGGGTGGCTGCACGGCCGTTTTAGTGGTTTTTCCCATGTGTAGCGTGGATACACGCCAACCTTCCACTAAACCATTTCTTAGGCTAGATGGCACTAACGTGCCTTATCGTAATCAAATAAACCAAACCAAAACCGTTTGTGAAATAAAAATAAATATCTTGTAATTTTCGAATACACACATATTAAATAATGTATATTATATATGTGAGAAAGCTGTTTTTTGCCTTTGTTTTATGTTATCACATACCTACAATATCTCTTCATTTCCGATAGCGCTCTTGATAGTTTTCCTTTGTTGCCGAGATTAAAGAATGACATGAAAGCTCTGATCCAAGGAAAAAAGATCTGCCAGGAAAGCGTACCAGCAAGTCGACCAACTTCGTTCACCAACTTATCCAGTTTTTTCCTCTTAGGATCATCGGGTTTGAGTCTCTTACCAAATACGAGTGACGCAATGTTATTTGACATACTTGGGGTTAACAATTCACCAATTTTAACAGGAGATTCGTGGTAGTCTTCTATGCGCTGAAGCAGTTCCAAAATCTCCTCCTAGAAAGGTAATATTGGTAGAATCTTTGAAATTTGTATCGTTATGATAAACGAAATGATAAACATTTCAGTAACACTATATATTATGTTAAGTTTTCTAACCAGACATGCTTGCATAATACGAAGATTTAAAACTTAAAATTTGCATTATAGGACATTTAGAAAGATTCTACATAAAATAATGTTACATATTTCCAAAAGGCCATCAAAGTATCGTATTTTATGACGAGCTTCAAAATTATGTTTCCCGAAATGGGAGTTTCGACCTATCTTTTAGACAGGAGAAAATATGTTTTTTTGACAGCTTTATTTAGAAATTTTAAGTATTTTATTATTTATTTACATTCATGTCTAATTATTAACTACGTAGGTTTATTTCATATAATCTCATTATCATGTTACTTATTAGGACTTTTCCTTTCGCTCTATCCCCCAGGGTATTGATTGCGATAAATATCCTTTATGTATGAATGGATCACGAGCTAATAAGTTAGAGATGTATTCTATAATAAATTATCAGAACTTATAAAAATACTTAATTTATTTTCACTTCGTTCAGAAATATCTACTCTAAATCCATTATAAAATTTCATTTTGAGACAGGTTGTGCCAATTTTTTTTTGAAATTTCATTTTGAGACAGGGGCGACAAAAGTGGCGATATGCCATAGACGGAGGGATAGCAGTCTAAAGCGCATTCTTAGCGGTTTGCTAGGGAATATTGTGAAAGATAGGTTATACTCTGCCTGTACGGGGAGAAATTAGTGTTTTGAGTTATGAGATTAGCTTGAGAGCGATTGACCGAGTCGAGAGCTGTACATTAGTTATTTGCCTTGAGGTTGTATTCACAATTATAGCCTGAAGGCTGTGCTGCTGATTGTTTCAACGTGTTTGTCGTACTTTTTCGACGAGGGTAAATGTGTCTTTCGAACTGTCCTGTGTAGTAGTGCTTACATGCGAATGCATTGTGTTTTTATTTTTAATCAAGTATTATCATCAATTACTCCAAATCCATGAACCAGTAGAACGAAATACTATAAACTAATAAACTAAGCGGAGAACCTCTCATATAAGACTTCATCACTTATTAGATGATATGATGGAAAATTACACTTATATTGGATCAGCTTTACACTAAACAGGCACACCAAGCACAACGTTTGATTATTTAGGTTAGTTTTAACTCAACATTTATATTGCTGCTTTTTATTACTACTGCTACCTTTACTACAGTAACTAATTTTACAGCTTAAATTTTCGACAACTTCTAAGCATGATGCTCTATTGCTACTAGTAATTCCATTATTAATCACTAAAAAGTAAAACTCACTGTGTCATGAGATTACGATTGCTCAGTTAATTTTTATATAAACCGAAAGAATGTTGGGTGTTATTCCAAAATGCTCAAAAATATTTTTGCGTTATAGCGTTTATAATGTTTATAACATATATATATATGTAATACTTATTTATTGTTGCATACATCTGTAACTATGATTCTGAGGTGATATTTTGAGGTAAAGGCTCTTTTATTTAATTTTAATAGCATAAGTATAGAATGTTGTTTTCTTTTTCTGCATAATTTTTAAAGTGGAAATACCTAATATTTTTAAATACATTCGAACATAATATTTTGAAAAGTTAAATTTAATGAAATCATTTTTACTAGGATACCAAAGCATTATATCTTATGTATTTCAAATCAGTTCTAGAGATACATAAATTTACAATAAAGACCACTTTTATAATGAGGAATTACTTTATGTAATGTTCTAACTAAATTTTACCTGAAAGATTAAAGAGTTCTTCTTGAAATTTTAAACTCGCAGTCGCCTAGACATGCATTAGGTCAGGGCTTATGAAACTTTTTTCATTTGCTATCCCTTTTTTATCACTGATTTTTTTTTCCACGACCCCAGAACCCCATACTTTACAAACATTTTGTGTGACCCCCATAAACATTGCGTAAATCCGACTCACGAGTGAATGAAAGTGTTAATTTTTTCACTTGTTCTGTAATATACTGTTGCAGTTTTAGGTCATTAACTTTAATTTCTAATTTTAACATATAGAACAATGTGAAAATTTTAAATAAATAACAGACGAAATGATTGCGTCACGTGCAAAGCAAGTAAAATGAACGTTTATATTATAAAAAGAATGCGTGGAAACGTTTATGTTTTTTCTTTGTCTGTATTATCTTTATCTATGTTCAGAATGTGAGGCACAACATGTGATTCCAACATGATGGGACCCCTGCTCGTTTTGGATTGGATGTTCGTAGCCATTTGCGAAGATCATTCCCGCATCTATCGATTGGGCATGGTGGACCAGTTTCTTCTGGCGTACATGCTCACCGGATTTATCGAGCATTGATTTCTTTTTGTGGGAAGCAATCAAAAGTGTCGTGTATCACGATCCTGTTGTGTCTGAAATGAATCTCATGGAAAGACTCGCCTGCACAACTGCTACAATCAAAGAAACTCCCGATATGTTTAAACATGTCCGGCAATAAATGGTCCGTCGGTGTCAGGCATGTTTGGCGTCTGATGGTTCAAACTTCGAGCATCTATTTCAACATTCAAGCTGTCGTACACCGTTTGTATTCATGTTCAATAAATGTTTCAAATTAGTCACTGTTGTTTCTTTTCCTATTCTTCTTCCTTTGCTACAACTTACCCCTGACATTTCCGGAAATGGATTCCTATACAACTCTTAATCCTTATGATGTGCCCTATCTTCCCTAGAGGTTTGTTGCAACATTTACGGTATACCCTGTATAAGATTATGCAAGGCCATTGTGATAATCATCTTTTAAGGGAGTTGAATTTAAGTCAGTCTTCATGCATTTAGTTCTCGACCCACCAGTGGCCCAGTGCTTAAGACGGCTGAACACGAATAGTTCCATTGTGTTCGAGTTCCAAAGAACGGGTTGTTTACATGGATACTTACGTTGTTCTTTCCGTATGTAACGTAAATACGAGCAGTTTCCTTTAGAGAGTCCTCCACGAAGGCATTCCTAACTTTAGACAGATAGTCCTCGTGGGCTTTCCCGTAAACAAACCTAAACTAACATTTTATGAGAAACAGACATATATATATAACGCTATTGTATGGAAAAAACTCTCATACTCGTATATTCAGTCCGCTGAACCCGAATCAAACTATTAGCATTCAGAGATTTTGCATAGTCTTTTCTGAATCATTTTTATGCAGATAGCTCTCGAGTGCCTTGCCCTAATCAAGTAAACGAATCGAAACTGGCTCGCTTTTTTAGATGAAATCATCACTCCAAGCAGCTTTACGGCTTTTTAAGGTCACGAGCTTTATTGCCACGATACATGACTTACACTGCTATTTAGAAATATTTTGCTTTTTTACTGTTTTTAATGACCTGGATATCATTGCAATGAAAATTTATAAAACTAAATAACTGAGTAGGTGTTTTGACAAATATAACTACCAAATGCTGCCCATTAAAATCATATACATGAGTAGATTCAAAATTCCTAAAATTTAAGATCGGCAGTCTTAGAAATTTACAACCTTACGTAGCGTATGTATAGCTCTTTTTCGCCCTCCAGCAGCTGAATGGTAAAATCACTAAATTCAGGTTGTTCGACTAGAGTCAAATGTCCGGTTAACGGGTTCGTCGTACGAGATATTCCGTGGCTTTCTTCATGTATAAGCGTGAGTAAACAGATATTGTTCTTGTTGTCTTGTCCATGAATTTCGTGGAAGAAAGGTTTTCAGTGACGGCAGCCTCCGAGGAGGGGTTCGAGTGTGTCCACCCCTCTCCCCGACCACCAACCCACACGAGAGGTCTTTCAACCCTTCATGTATTTAGAGTGCCCCGTGCCGCAAAGACACAGCATTTACAAACATCCATGCTTTCTCTGAGTTTCAAGCCTGCGCCCTTCGGTACCGCAGTAGGCTCCTCTAATCACTATAATGTCTAGACGGCAATATGTTAGTTTCGCTAAAAGGTCTCCCACGAAGGCATCCTTTTCTTTAGGCAGATAACCATCGCGTGCTTATTACATAATTTACTTTTTTATTTTATTTTATTTTACTTTGTGGGGTATCGGATATCGTTGACTCGTGTCAAAAACGTATGACGTGATATTTCAGAAAACTGATTTTTTTTTTTGGTAAGAAAATAAAATTTCATCAGGTAACAATCTGAATAACAGTAGAAAAATATTTTCTTTTGATATAAAGAATAACAACTATGAACACATGTAGGTAATGAAAACTGCAAATAGTAAAAATGCAAGTAGTTTTTGAAAGTAAATAAACTTTACTTTTATGTGTTCTTCCATGCGCGTTTTACCGAACCCAAGATCACGAAGCATGTGCAAGGAGAATCTCCTTTGTTCTTTCCATGGAAGGTCCAAGAATGCTCCGGTACCTAAAATAAGAATTAAAAGACATCGTAGTTCATTAAAATACACACATGAAAATAAATAATTATTATATGTTGTTGCGTGCGTACGGGTTCGTAATGAATTGAATGCAGAAGTCTGATGAAAAGTAAATAAAATTTATTATTACCACAACAAATAAAACAAAATGCTTAAAGTTCCACAGACATTCGTACAATATTGCCATATCTCACAGTAGTTATTTTTTAAACTATTAAAACGTTCAGAAGAACTAATTCAAACTAGAGAAAGCTAACCCGATTTCACTACGAATTCGCTACAGTAAACAACAGCAATATTCTAAACAAACTCATAAAACAACTAACGAATGTTTGATCTTTTGATCGTATCTTTATTTCTGGCCTCAACCTCCGAGGGGTTTTACCAGTATCATGAAAATTACAGCCATTATACATTTGCTAGGTTTAAAATTAATAAAGATGTACATTAGTACATCAGCAGACAGGGGCGAAAGTTAAACAAAATGAAAGTTCATAAGTTGGTAAAATCTGTAGGAAGGATGTTCTGCGTCTTGCGCTAAGCTGGCGGAAAGGCAGTCAGAGGAGAGTCATTGTGATCTTGAGAAGGCACCTGATTGGTCAGCTTCGAAGTAGTCAGTTCGTTAAAAGTTCTTAATTAAGGTAGAAAATTGCTTAGTTTGATATAAATTTTTGTATTTAGCTTTAAACACAGTCCCTAGTAAAAATGGCTTATGAGAATCAATGCAGTGCATTTAGAGCTCGAAGCATAAACTCATAAAATAAACTAAGTCCAAAACAGGTAAAATCTTAAGTAAATAAAACTATTTACGGACTGCAAGTTGAAGAATGATATACACAAAATGAGGATGAGTTGGAATAATAAGTTGCAGTTGTGGAATTGTGGTAAATTAAACTAGAATTCCAAGTCAATACTCGTAAAATAATCGAAAGCGGTTATGCCTACTTCGATTTTACCCATCATTGATTTCACAGTTCTGAATTTTTGAAGGAATTCTTTTGCTCTATTAATGCGTACTTTAATCCATAAAAAGATCGAAATTTCATTTTCATTTTCAGTATTTGGATTATTTTTTGTCCAAGCTGATTTATTTGTATTATTTGGTAGCGTGGGGAAGTCAGCGGCTTTAAGTTGGAACTTAATGCTTGCTTCTGCTTCTTTTTTGGCTTTCGCTGCAGCGATGGCTTTTTGTATATTATTTGGGTGTTTAACACAACCCTTATAAATCGAGAAGTGATTTTCTCCACAAAGGACACAGCAAGCAGGTTTATTATCCTCTTTCTTTCGGTACAGGTTTAAGTTTCATGAGGTTTAGCGCATTTCATGTACCTCGCTGAATAATGACATAGCTTCCGGGTATGCCCATATCTTTGACATTTGTGGCATTACACGGTTTTTTTTATTTAAATGGGGTGATAAAGACATCTAATCCTCTCAGTTTCGTTATGTCATAAACGTTTTTGCCTTCAATTTCGCGTTTGCATTCAACTTGAAAAAGCGGTAATTTAAGAATATTTCCATCTCTTACAGTAGTAAGTTGACGAACTTTAAGAACAGGAATACCTTTTTGTTGAATTTCTTGTTTAATTATTTCTGGATTAGAATTCTTTGGGAGTTTTTTAATAACCGCTTTTAGTGGTTTTTCATTATTAGCTTTAAAGCTGTAATATTGTATCCACGCTCTTGTAGAAGGCTAGTGATAAATCTGAAGTGATCAGGATCATAGACTCGGATAGTTAAGCTTTCACCTTTCATGTTTCCTAAGTAATGAGTCATACCATTACTTTCAATTTCTTCCTTAAGTGCACCCCATTCCCCCCGGTGAAATTCTCGAGAACGATTGGGGGAATGTGTTGTGTTTTTATTTGAGGATTCTGATTCACAGGAATTTCCTCGTCCATTTGGTCGTCATCACTAAGATTAGCGAATTTATTCGACTGAGTTGGTTCATTTTAATTCTCGTCCGATGAACGTTTAACTGAGTTACGAGGGAAAATAAATCCTTTCGCTGTCAGTTAGTGTGCTTTTTTTCTTTTTAGTAACTTTAGGTGTGGAAGGAGCATTTTTATCAACCTTTTCTTGCAAACTGTTTTCTTTTGTTGTTTGTGTTAAGGTTGATTTCTTTTTGAGATCCTCAATCAAAAGTAGAGTATTATCAATTTCTTTTTGCACCTCTTGCCAATATTCGGCGCGGCGTCTTTTATCATCTTCAGGGTCTTTACTGTCAGTAAATTTGGCCGTCTCAGCAAAAAACCTTTTGATATTTAATTCACTAAGTTTCCTTTCAAGTGACTCAATGGTCGGTATAGGGACCGAATTTAAATCTGTCTCATCCTTGTCAACTAACGAATTGAGAGGTTTTCCTCCTTTAATAAGCTTTATAAATCACGCACGAGCATTCTATATTATAATATTCTATTCTATATTCTAATATTATATATTATTTTATTCTGGTATTTTCTCGAAAAGCGAAAACGTGCAATTACGAGATATCTATTTATTAAATGCGCGTGATCCTCTATTTTTAATTTTTCCGGCTTAGCTTTCTCTTCAAATAAGTCGCGTGCAGCATTGCACTAGGAAATGAAACAATTTAATAACAATTCTATTGAAAAAATAGAAAACTAAATAAATCAATACAAAAATCGTAACAATAATTTATAAAAGACTGGAAATATTTCTCAAAACTCATATAACAATATCAGCTAATATACTAGCATTAGCATATCAGCTACTCATTGGAAAGAAAAACAGTGTTATTTTAAAGCAAGGTTGCCAGATTTAAATCTTCATTCAAAAACAAATATTACCAACAAATATTACCTGTGGAGTCAAATAAATTTAAATATCATTTCGCCCAGTTGTCATACGAAGAATTCAATATTGGGATCATCACTGTCGCTTTCATTGAGAAGAATGGAAAATCTGAATCGCATATTTTGTCAGTTGTAAAATAAAGTTTCTCTTACCTTACGAACTTTTACTATACATAGTTTTGCGATACGAACGAACTTGTTCTTAAAGAGTGAAATTTGTGGGGAATCGAAAGAAATTCGGGGCATCAATTTTTTGGAAAACCAAATTTCAAATTTTGAGAAATGTGCTCAGTTTTCTGTGTACTTTACCCCTAGCAACACAGTGTTATCGTCTTATTTAAAACGAAATAAAATAATTTTTTTTTTGTTTTTTAAATGGCGGGCACTAGCATTTTTAAGCTTTGGCCGCTAGTAAAGCCAGAAATGGTGGTCATTTTATTATGGAGGTACCTAATAGGCGGCCACCGTTACCACCTGTTAGGGGACAGATAATTTACATCCATGCCTTCTCCGGGATTCGAGCCCAAGGCCCTTCGGTAACGCAGTCGACACCCCCAACCACTATACCATTTGGGCCGCACGAAAGAAAATCTGTTCAGATAGGTTTAGTACTTATTTGAGAAATAAGTGTCTTCGGCCCGTCTAACATGCCACCTACTTCTTATGCAATCTCCTTATTGCAAAAATCTTCTTTACTTGTTGATGAGTCTTCAGAGGGCGGGTCGAAATGCAATATCATAATAACGTCTAGACACGCAATATCGTGAATAATAGAAAAGTCGTAAATATCAAAATGTTCAAAGTCTTTCCTCGCAAAATAATCCGGCCATAACGTCTTCGAAGCATCATTCATGATTCTGCGCCACCTTCTAGAAGTTCTTGAATCTGGGCATAAATTCATCCAAACACCATTCATGGTCCTCTAAGGCACCTGTTGCTAGACTTTGTTAATCAATGGAAAATATTCAAATGACACTTCTAGAAGTCCTTGATTTTTGATTATGTGTCACAGGCTACTTTGAAACGCCTTTGAATATTATAGACTGCCGGCTTGAATGTTAATAAACTCAGTATAATGTGTATCCATAAAACTCCACAGTTCGTCACCCCAGGTGTTTTTTCTTCAAGTAGTTTTTTTTCTGAACGGAATATATCCAAAGTTCCACTACATTTGGGCACCAGTTGGTATATGCTTTTATGTAGTATTTCGTATTCAACAGCAAATGACAGCTTTCTATATATTATTATAACTAGAAATAAAAAAATGCCATTAGAAAGATATAAATGCATATTGTTGCCTTCTATAGATTCGTGAATTTGAAGTGATTGATGGCAACACTTGATGAATAATCAAAACAGAATTTATTTGCCAGTAAGCATTATTACACAGTACAATTCCAAAAACACGTTACAATCGTCGAAGATCTACGATAAACACGCTGAAACAATCAGCAGCACAGCCTTCAGGCTACAACAGTGAAGACACGGAAAAACACTGTAAGGATCTTAAGTTTTACTAACGTTTATTTTATTTTAAATCTTTACTATCACTTCTTATTTTCTACTTCCGGCCAGAATTATAAGCGTTAACTTATTTATGCAAAATTTGTCTGGCGAACGCCAAGTACTTAAGTTGTGGCTTTTTGCCAAGCGAGAGAGAGGAAGGAGTTAGTCGAAGCAGGCCGCTTACCTTAGAAGTTTTACTCAGTTGCTGGTTGCCTTCCAGGCCAGAGGTTTAATCCTCTTGATAATTTTAAACGTATTGTAGTGTTAACAGTTCTCTGTACTACATACGGCTTCCTGTTAATATAAGGCCAATCTTCCACGTTTATTATTTCAAAGTTAAGTTAGCATTTAGTTATATTTTTATATTCTTACGTTTAGACCACAAGTAGTGGGTCTTTGTATTCCGAAGTACGGAAATTATTGTAAAGAGAGAAAAATAAAGGGTTTTGTATACCCTTCTTGTGTATCCTGTCTACTTCCCACAGTTATTGAACATAGCTTTAGTAAGCTCTCTGTTCCCAGTCAGGTCCTTGCATGTTCCCCAAAGAAAGTAAGACGGAATATTGAACCTGATAGTGGCGCCCAACGAAGAAGAATAACCATGACCGAGTTTCAAGAAGAACCTGTGCTGCCTGCAGAAGCGGCTCAGAATCCAGAAATGCCAG